TTCCATTACTAACACTCCCCAACACTCAATCCAAACAGGCCGTAAAGATTCATATTCAAATCTCATACCAAGAATGATATATTGAAGAAGATCATTATTTAAATTGAGAGCCAATTCTAAGTCTCATACAAATGATTTATGCACGAAAAGTATTCTAAGCTAATACGTACTACCCAATTTTTTAATATTAGTCCTCTTAGGCTTTGGCACGAGTTTTAAGAGGAAAGTAGTAGGGGTAATGTAAAAGGTGTAATGAGTAGTGGGTAAATGAAAAAGTAGGAAAGAGAAAGGGGTAATGGTAATAAAAGTTGGGGTATAAAGGTATATTTAGAGTAAAAACTTTCCTTAAATGGAAAGGAGGACAGATAAAAAAAAAACGTCACAAAAAGGAAAGAAAGATTAATAAAAAGAACAGAGGGAGTAGTATGTATCAATTACATCACTCCGCAAAAGTACTACTGTGGACTGTAGCTGTTTACAGAGTTTCTCTTACTTTCTCACTTTCCTCTCTCTCCCACAAAAAGCAATATCTGAAACGAGTATTGTACTGCTTCAAAAACCCAATCTCATTCTAGATTTACAAAACAAACAATCAATTCAAGTCTGGTTTTGGAACCGTATCAACACCTAAATAGGTGTAGCCTTAAATGGGTAAAGTCATTTAGAGATTTTATACGAAATGGTAATCCTTATCGGAGTTATCGCCACCAAAAGCATTTTAAAACTTTTAAAACCGGTGAATTTATCAATTGACAAAGAGATAGCTTCAAATCTCCAAAACATGAGGATTTGTCATTATTTTCAACTCAAACCTCACAATTTAATTGAAATATCACTCACATATTATTGTATTTATTTTTATTAGATAAATTTATCATGTATTACAAATTATTCACTTCTTAGTTTTTATTTTACTACGGTATAAATGACATGTGTCAAGGCATTGGTTATTCTCATCTTCATGACATTGTGCATAGAAAAGGTTATTTACAACATTTTTAATGAAACAATAGTGTGTTCAAATCGCAGCGAAATTATTGAAAGACAACCCCATGAGTGATGATGAATATTAATACTACCTCTGTCTCGTTGGAAGGTTCTCATAACAAAACGGTACAGTTATTTAGACAACAATTAAATAAAGTACTTCGAGTATATTTTGAGAAATAATTTTAATAGGTATATATTATAATGTAGTTAGTATTGATAACTGTGATCTTATAAATGTATTATTTTTAATATTAAAATAAATGTATTATATTTAATGATCTTATAAATTTTTAATATTTAATAATTTTAAGATTATTAATTGTTTCCTAAAATGGAAATGAGAACCTTTATATGAGACATCCAAAAAAGGAAAGTGAGAACCTTCTAATGGGACGGAGGAAGTATTAAATATAAGTTTAAGAATGTGTTTAGATATAAATATACAATGATAAGATGCAAATTTTAAAATATTATATCATAATATAGAGAGTACAAATAATGAAGATGAGAGAATTGAAGATTTGTAAAACATTGGGGAAAAAGAGATATTTATAGAAAAAATAATCTTCGCATCCACCAGGCCCTCCAACAGTCTCAAGAGCTGTTTGATGAGGCTGCAATGTACCCCCAACAGATCTTTCTTTCAGCCAATAGGAAAATAGGGGGTGGGTTACTAGAACTCTAGAACCAATCTATTCTCAACTCACAAGAATAAGCATGTCCCGATTCAGACTAAGGATATGTTTGGCAGAACGAGCTGAAGCTGGAGACTTTTGTCTGAATCGGGGGCTATTGTCTGAATCAGAGATTATTGTGTGGAACTGAACTTTAAAGTGTTGAATCTAAACTCTTAGCTGAATGAAGTACACATGTTTGGCAAAAAGAGCTGAAAATTGTCCAACTAATATGAAATTACATTAAAGCGCATATGTTAATTAACACAATAAATATTTATTATAATGCTTTTATAATTTAATAAATATTGAGATTGTTAATACATATTTATATGTGTGTATATTCATATACTCCGTAAAATATAGCGCATTAAATACAAAAAAAATATATTAAAAACACTTCAATATATGAAATAATAAAAAATACTACCTCCGTTCTTAAATAAATGCAACACTTTGAATTTTACACTATTCACATGTTCTACTTTGACTACATTTTATTTATTAATGTATTAATATTTTTTATGAACAAAATATTTTTAAATTCGCTTCATTGTAAATTTTCAAAATCTATTTTTTTTAACATTTTTACTAATACAAATATATATAGATTAATGGTCAAAGTTGTGTCTCGACAAGTGTGAAATGTTGACCGTTGCATTTATTTAAGAACATTGGAAGTACTACGTATTAAAATTTGGTCATAGCATTCTCCGCTAATTCAAGCCATCCATGATGACTCCATGAGGAGATGGTTCTCTTGAGTGCAGTTCATCAAACGTGAGAGTTTGAAAAGGCGCAAACAGATAAGAAATCTATTACTCCCCTGAAGAAAGATTAAAATTTGGTGATTCTTTGAAATATAACTTGGAATCCGCAAAAAAAATATAACTTGGAGAAAAGAAAGAGAGAGCCGATGGAGTATCGTAGAGAAAGATAACTTGTAGATTGAGGAGGAAATGGGATCTGTATCAGTAGGGAATGAGGGGAATAAGTAAAACCTGAAGGGCTCTACAATGAAACTTAGGTGATCAATCGAGGAAGAAAAGGTGTCGAGAGCTGTGGCGTGAGATTGAACAGGGATATATTGGGATTTGAAAGTCTGAAACGATACGGCTGAGTGTAAACGTTACCTTCCTCAACGTTGGAGTTCATGACCCTATTATTTGAGATCAAGCCCAGTTCAGCCCTCCTAACAAACAAGTCTATTTTGATCAAAATTGACTGAATTTTAAAGATTTCAGCCCTTTTTTAGCTGAACTGACGCGCCAAACATAGCCTAAACCTACGACCAGACCTTGTCCATTCCTAACTACAACAACAACAGCTCCCTCTCAAGAGCACATGTTGGTCAAGAAGACATGAAGACGTTGCAAAGGACGAGGCTATAAATAGGGCTCAACACGGATCTGTGGTTTCTCGTTCTGTACCGAGAATTGTCCAGAGGTGTACCGGATTCAAACGAACCGGAAAAATATAATACCGTACCGTATCAGAATTTTTTAATAATATGGTACAATATCAGTTCTTAAATAAGAACCATCACAAAATCATACCAAAACCGTATTGAACTAAACTGTCCCGTCCTAGAAAATTGGTTATACAAAAAATATATATACTCCATATCTATTAACTCATACATTGTGGTTACTCAAGGTTTTGGTATAGATCGTATAATGCATACTCTTTGGACCCTCAATACCAGGGGTGGATTCAGGCCGGTTCTGAAACGTTGGGCCCGGGCCCGGGACCGGCCTGGGTAGCTACCGGGTCCGGTCCGGGCCGGGCCTCTTTATTTTTATTTTTTTTCTTTTTCTAATTAACCCCCGACCCCCCATCATCCCCCCCCCCCCCAAACACCCAGTCCAACCCGTTGGAATAAAAAAAATGAAAAAAAAATACTCCCTCTGTCCCAATATAAAAGGCACACTTTCCTTTTCAGTCCGTCCCAATATAAAAGGCACATTTCCCTTTTTGGCAAACAAAACAGTGTCAAACAGTGCCAAACAGTGCCAAACAGTGCCAAACAGTGTCTAAACAGTGCCAAACAGTGTTCACCCTTAAAAAGTCCCCAAACGCAAATGTGCCTTTTATATTGGGACTGAGGGAGTAATTGATTTTGGCCCGAACCGGGCCTGGGCCCGGCCTCTCATTTTGGCAGCACCGTGCCCGGAACCGTCTCCCCCTCGGGCCGGGTCAAAGCCCGGTACCCGAACCGGTGAACCGGGCCGTTCCCGGGCCCGCACAGTAGCAGGCCGGTCCCAGGCCCTCATAGTAGCGGGCCGGGCGGGTTCACAGGCCGGGTGGCCCGACCCGAGTCCACCACTACTCAATACAATTAGTTAGCATACTAAATTTTATAAATAGAGGGTTGTTCCTGTACATATGGATGTACATGAAGCTCCGTATAGACAAAGCCATCAGAGGTCCTTCCTGATGGAATTTTTTGATGATTTTTTTTGAAAATGTTCTTCATGAAGTCTAGTTTATTCATACCAAATTTCAGCTCAAAATTCGATCGGAAAGGCAGTCAAATAAATTCTTGAAATATACTGCACATTATATGTGCGCAGAATGCGCCATATGTTTCAAGAATTTATTTGACTGCTTTCCCGATCGAATTTTGAGCTGAAATTTGATATGGATAAACTAGACTTGATTAAAAACGTGTTTAAAAAAATTCATCAAAAAATTCCACCAAGAAGAGCCTCTGATGGCTTTGTTCGTACGGAGCTTCCTGTACATCCATATGACCATATATACAAGATCTTTCCTGTTTATAAATAATACTACTAGTAAGAACAATGATACAAAAGATGTAAACTTAATTTAGTTACTTTGTCAACATCCTCGTTTGCTCTGCATCCTCCGAAAGATTAGAGCTATAAGCTATAACTTTATTATAGTTGGACTATTAGTTTTTTAGTTAGATATGATTGCACAATGTTAGTTTAATATGGACTTTTCAATCCTTAAAAGTTCGAACTCTACTCTTAATCTTTTGTATGTTCCTCACAAATGCTAAAACCTAAAAAAAATTATTTCATGAAAATTAATTACTCCGTATTTAAGAATCAAACTGTACTGAAGTACCATACCACAGCACCAAACCGTACTGAAAATTGGTATGAAACGGGACAAATTCCACATACATTTGGGCAGTTTAGGTTCTTTGATTTTTAAAAGAATCATACTTTGGGCCGGATAATGGCGGAGATGAGAAATAGGGTTAGGCATTTTAAATCTTTCAAATATTTTAATTACTTCTTTGCCCATCATAGAAATTGCTCTTGTTTTTGTCAATTCAAAAACTGATGGTATGCTTTTATCGTTTTTTCATCAATCCTTTTTGCACTTGGAATGAGAAAACAAATTTTACTCTGTAATATAAATTCAAGTGTCCATTAGCACATCGAATGCTGTGCATTATTTGAAGGAGAAGAAGCAACTAAATCACAGAAAATCTCGGGCTTGAAGGCCTGAACAAGTGAATTCATACAATATTTTACATATATATGTTACAGATTTATATCACAATTTTGAAGATTGGACCTTGAGACATCCTCCAAAGGCCGATTTATATACCATACACATATATGTATAAATATTGGCATCTCTCCCACAAGTGTAGGTTGCTATGTACTTCCCGCCACCAAACTATGATTCATTTTTGAAATTTAAAGGAAAATTAGGGATAAGAAAGCAAAATCAGGCCATTGATTCAATGTCACTGTTGTCGCTCGCATCACTGCACCAAAAATATAACAATTAACCAGGAAGAGCATTTATAAAAGTAGGATTAATATTACATTATTGAATAACATTTTTACACGAAAAAACCAGCATCTAAGAGGCCCAGTCCCACAAGGAGTCTGGTTTGGTCAAAGTATAACTTTTTATTTTTGGTAAGGTATATCTCTTTAAAGTAATGGAATCCCAATTTATTTCTAAAAAATTTATGTTTCGGGTATGCCTATATCATATTGGACTGGTTTGTATCTCTTTCTTGTTGGTAAATTACATCCAAAGTTAGCCCTGTTATATAAAATACGATACTTTTTGGACAACAAAAAAACTTTTGAAGCAGAAATTTTTTTGGACGGATGGCACACAATTCTACCTAGTCCTATACAATATTTCGGATAAAAATCATTGATAAAATGGATACTATTATTTAACCTGTGCTCTGAAAGCTTGGAAATCCGCCTAGCATCTAAACCAGTTATAAACTTTTGTGCAGCTTGAACATTGTCTCCGCCTGGAAAAGAACATTTCACAGACAATTATTACAACAGTTTGAGAAAATGTGAAAACGGTGTCTTTTCCAATTAGCATGGAAGTAAAAATATGAACGGTAAGCATATCTAAAAATGCATTTCTATATCTAGATACTTCTATATTTGTGATATTAAAAACAGGTATGGTAAATACATTACAGTCGACCTTTATACATTTTTAATGAAATCATATTTCTCAAGATGTAGACTGTAAACCAGCCAAAACTTTCCCCTCCAAAACCCTAGATCCGAACAAACATTTGAAAGAATTCCTTACCTTTATTCAATTGAAAGGCATGCAAGGCACATCTCTCAGCAGCAATTCTCACTGGAGAACTTCCATCTTTCAAGCAATCAGCTAGTGCAGGACCATACTTTAATACATGGACCATTAAGGCACTAGGATTACACTGCAATGTACAAGCCATGACTTATTCCCACACAAATAATACAATACATAGAGTTAAAGAAATTGATACATAAAACACAACACAGTTTCAAGGATAAGAACAATAAGAAGTTTATATGTGGTACACGCACTTTTGCAACTATCTTCAGAGCAGACAATGCTCGTCTTCTGACTTCACTTGAATCATCTTGCATGGCCAATACTATAGATCCGAGAATCTCCAGATGTGAAGAAGCATTAGAAGAATCACTCACAACTTGATGATATAAAAGTCTTCCAAATGCCCTTGCACATGTTTCACGGATTGGAAACTGTGAAATCAAAGAATTAGAAGTCTTAATTTAAAATAAAAAAAAGAATGCACATAGCACTTACATTTTATCATATAGGAAAATTATCAAAAGATGTAAAGGAAACCCAAATACCTTTTCATCTTTTAAGTTACTTTTGAGACTATCTATTACAGCTCCATATGATGAAGAGGAAAAAATGATGGAAGGGTTGTGCTTTAGGATTGAAGAGATCGTAAGTACTGCTCCGTGCCTTGTGCACCAGTTAGGAGACAATGCAGAGTTTGTAGTCCCATTAAGAACCTCAACAACTTCTACATCTTCTAAGTACTACAGCAACATCAAATGTGAAATGAAGACATGTAAGCATACTTGGTAACTACTAATGAACTTTGTAATATATAGAAGCGAAAGAGAAGGATAACTCAGTATATAGCCGAGAGAAAAAAATAATCTTTTATTGGGTAAATTCAGCACTTCATACAAATATTCTAAAATGGCTGAAGAGCTCAAAATATTATATAATGTCCTCCCAAGCATACAAAAAAGCATGCAGTCCATATTCAAAGAAATATTGGACGGGAGCAGGTTTTAAGATATAGTAAACGAGTAAATATAATTCCCCAACAACACCTTAGATTACTACACATCACAAACATGTCTAGAATAAAACACACCTTGTTGGCTAGTTAGTACGCACACTTGCACTAAAATAACAAGTGAAAACAAATAATCACACAGAAACAAAAGAGAAAAAAAAATCAGGAATTTAATTTTAAAAACCACAATTGCTTTTATGGGAAAAAGATCAAATAAGCCCTTCTACTATTTCCAATCGATCACTTAAGCCCCTATACTAAAAAGAGTATCATATAAGTACGGTTACTTTAAAATATTGATCAATCCGGCCTTTCAATCAGTTTTTGACCTGTAATAGCAGGTTTTTATATTAAAAACTCTACAAATGGTAAAATTCGAAGAAATATGGATAAAAATTGTGACATATTTCAGAATGTCAAAGTCAATATTTTTGCGTTTTTGGATTATTTGTATATTTTACACCTTTTTTTACACCGGGTGGATGGGGTGGCTGGGGGTCGGGGTAAACTGGGATCAAACTCACTCCATTGAGTATTGAACCCAAGACCCCCCATAAGGGAGAGTGAGTGACATTTATATTATATATTCTTTACATTTTCACTTTATTTTTATCATTTTTCTAATTTTTTGTTTTTTTAATTTAACATTTTTATACTAATTATCTATTTTTGCATTTACACTATTTTTATATTATTATACATTATTTTTCGGATTTAAATTAATCTTTATAAGATTTATCAGTCCAATTGTCCTTATATATTTTTAGAAAAATAACTTGCTATAACAAGTCAAAATGGCTTGATTGATTGTAATTTTAAAGTAAGCATAGTTACATATACTTTTTTTAGTAGGCCTTAAGTGATGTATTGGAAATAATAGAATGGTCTATTTGACCTTGTTCCCTTTCTTATTTCAATAGCAATACAGGTAAATGTCTTAAACTGAAAATCAGATTCACTAAAAAAAATCATTTAAAGATGATTTGTGCACACTATACCATTTACAAGTTAAAACTGCTTCATCTTCAAATTACTGGAGCAACATCAAATGCAAATTTAAGAAAGCTTCTCTCGGGAAACAAGCATGTGGTACAATATTCTAAAACGGCTGAAGTGCTCAATGTATTATACGATATCCTCCCAACCATATAAAAAAAAATAGTCCATTCAAAGAAATATTGGAATGGGACTAGGCATGGACCGGGACCAGGTCGGGCCGGGCTCCAGGACGGGGCGGGGATGGGATTTTGGGATGAAGGCCCGGTACCGGTTGGTACCGGGCCCGGGTGACTCAGGTCTAAGTTTTTTTTTAATTTGGTTTTTCGAATTTATTCGTACCCCCCATTAAAAAAAGGGCCCGGGCCTGCACAGTAACAGGCCAGGTCCCGGGTCAGGCCAACCGGTCCCAGTCCATCCCTAAATGGGACTGCCCGACTGGTAATAAAGATATAGTGCACGAGTAAATACAATTAGCCCACTTAGGTTATACAACCACACACGTTTCCATTTGTTAGTCTCGAGACTAAATCTTGCCTTGATGCCTAGTTAGTATGTACATACTCCTACAGTAAAATAACACGTGAAACAAATAATTCACACAGAACATCAGAGAAAAATATGCAGGAATTCAAGTTCAATCGCCAGTTTTTTTTTTTAAATTGCTATAGAAGTAAATTTATTAAACTGAAAATTAAATTCACTAACCAATACAACAACAACATTACCCCAGTGCCGCAAAGGCTCCCACCTACGGTGGGGTAAGGGGGGGTCACATGTACGCAGCCTTTCCGGAAAATTCACTAATCAATATATCAATATATAGTCTAAAACGAATAGGTGGTTTAATAACTGATAAGTCTAACCTGGGACACAATTCCCAATATGCTGGCAGCACACATTCGAATCTGATCATCATTATCATGTATCATATCGGTTAAGAGCGTATAGACACGAGTTCTAGAGGTACTGTTCAAACTTTTGCCAGCGTGTTTGATCACTCCTTTTAAAGCAGCCAAGATAGTCTCACGGATTGCAACATCCGATATCTGTTGCCATATCACCTTGGTTTTAGATTTCGCAAGTCAAAAACAAAAAACGAAAGACAAAAACAGAAAGCAAATATGAAAGTGAATTGGATCACCTGTAAAACAGACAATAAATCTGTAATAAGAGGATCAATCCTAGTAGTGAGTGCACTTAGCTTTCCAAGTGCAAGAGCAGCAGTTGATCGAACAGTCCTGCAAATAACTTGTGTAAGCATGAACTTTGAACATACAAATATTGTTGGGTGTGAATAAATGGGTTAAAAAGAAACAGAGAAACCATCAGTTTTAAAAGCTAACCTTGTATTTTCCTGCAAACACTTAACAAATGTTGTTTGAAGCTGGGGAAGAAAGGGTTTTAATGCCAACCCTCCCTTTCGTATTATGATTGTTAAAGTAGAGAGAATTGCACTTTTCACTTGCCACGGGAATCTGTCCCCTATTATACGAATTAATGGCCTGCACCCAAAACAAACCTTAAAGTTCAAATATGAACCGATATAGGACATCATAATGGCTGATATACTAATAAAGAGAAAACGTATTTCCATTCCACACATGAATAGGGTCCTTCATGCATTTAATTGAATGCAGTGCCAGTAAAGGGTGGGCAAGGCAATTGACTAGGGCCCCACTTTGAGAGGGGCCTCTTTTGTGTGTGTGTGTGTGTGTGTGAAAAATAGAAACACAAGTTTTTATGTGTGAAAAACTAATGTAATGATTTGTTATTAAAAATCATTCAGACCTAAATATAAAATTAGACATATTATGATTTTATTTAATATTATAAAATAATTTGATTTCATATGCTTCCTATGCCCCGTAAAACTTGACTAAGTTTGACTTGCACGGGGAATAAAAAGTAAAATACTGTGCGGTCAAGATTTGACCCGAGGAGAGAAAAATATCTTGAATCACATATTTATTGCTTCAAATGGAAATGGCAAAGTTTCTTTGGACGGCTAGATGAGGAAAGTTGGCAAAGTTTTGTTTAATTACAATTTCATTAATATGGAATTGCATTGATAGCTTTAACTACATTTTCTTTAACTTTAATTTATAATGAATGGTAGGGACTATGGCCTATGGGTGATACTCTGTTGTGGCCTGATTTAAAATATTGTCAAAAAATTATAACCCTACTTCTTTAAAGTATGAAATCTAATAATATATATTAAGAACGACAAAAAAAACAAGAATTAATTTAGTGAATTAAGTTTAAAGAATATCACTTCAATTTTATTAAATGGAGGCAGATTCCTTTTATGAAGTTTTCGCAATTTGACAATTAATTTCCCTATTCTCCGCACTCTTTTAGGTTTTTTCTGTATGTGGTTATATTCCAGAATTTTACAATTAAACTTACTAATGAGCTTAAATAAACCCCAAAAAAATAACGTAGTCACAACATATGTAAAGAAGATTACTGGGTCCAATTTTTCTCTATTTTTATGGGTATAGGCCTGTTTCCTCTGTTGCCAACCCCTTTAGGACCGGCCCTGGTCTACAACAACAACATCCAAGCCTTGGTACCAAAAGCGTTTGGGGTCGACTAACATGAATCAACACATGAAATCGGATCTAAAAAGATAAAATAAAGATAAGATAAAGATAAATATAAAATAAAGATAAAAAAATAATAAGATAAAAAGGATAAAAGGACATAGAACATAAAAAAGATGAAGCAGACAAAAAGATAGAAGGATAAAAAGATGAAAATCGCTCAAGGCCAGGGCCAACCATGGTCTAAGGTCTCAAAATTGCTAAACACGGCCCTGATCTAATAGTCATATATGCCTAACCATAGCAGCACGGCTAGGGTAACAACTCATACCCTGTAATTGGGATGACAAACTCCTTTAATGCTTCCTCACTTGTCACTTCAATTAACTCGCCAAGCCCTAAAGCTGCTTGCTCTCTTAGATCAGCTGATCCACTCATAAGACCCTACATATAATAATAAAAATATCACAAAAACATGCAATCCATTATAGCAGTAATACAATAACTTGGGGCATCTACCATCAAAGACAAGTAAAGTTATATAAGAGTCCTGGCAAGGCCTGAAGAGATCTTTCCAACTCTTGCAAGCCTTTTAAAAACACAAACTTGGAACATCTTACATCAAAGATGATTAAAGAAGAAATATAATTCTCAAAACGTCTATATTTTAAGGCTAATTATTCTTCAATCAAAAGAGTGACCGGAAATACAAATACTTAACAAACTCAGAAACAACATAGTATTACAGTAAATTAGAAGGAATACCTGAAGGAAGATAGGAAGCACAGGTTGAAGAGCTTTTCGGAGGCAAAAACCGGGTATTAGCACTGGTCCTTTCTGCATGTTTTTATATTTCACTTAGACTTGCAAACCGTGAATTAAAAAGAAGCATAAAAGTCACAAAACCCTGTGTAGTTTCTCACACCAACTAAAGTACGATCCAGGATGGGGAGTATCAACACACATGTATGTATCATCATTATCATTATCAGCACGGCAGCACCTTAATCTCAACTAGTGTTGAAGGTATTATGTTTATAATGCCTAATTAATTATATAAATTCCTAAACTTAATTAACACTTTCAAAAAACAGTGGCAATTTTTTACACTGAATACCCCTACCGTTCAACCTTCATAAGAAGGAATACTGAGATGAAAATCTGATATCCTTGGATTACACTATCAGACTCTGATGAGTTGACATCTATGAAGCATGGTAACACTCCGCGCCTCACATTTCCGCGTTTCGGAAACTCAAAAGCATGTCGGAAACTTAAAATTCCTGTTCTGGGGTCGTTTCCGAAATTAAGAAGAATTGAGAAAACCTGTTTCCTAAACTAATTAGCATTTTAGAAACCTTGGGTTTTCAACCTCTTTCCCTAGGAAATTCTCTAATGGAAAATATTACAGAGTATCTTTCTAAAACAAGCTTTTGTGGGTTTTCTTCCTAACAACATTGTGACATTTCTATAATGCAATGCATTGCTAGAAATGTATTGCAATTTATGTTTAGTTATGTACTAATATGTAATGATTTCGAAATTTCAACATGTAAACGTTTATATCATTGGTTTCATTGGGTTATTAAAGTCATACGAAAAAAATTATGTGCATATATATATATATATATATATAGTTACAAATATACCTTTATAAGTTTTAATATTTATGTGTTCCCCCCACATTTCGTATCCTAATTTTTTTTTAAATTACGTTTCTCTCATCTCATGTTTCTCGAATTCTCGTTCCACGCTTCTTATTTCACGTTATACATATGCTTCAACAACAACATCCAAGCCTTAGTCACAAAAGATTTTTGGGTCAGGTAACCTGAATCAATATATGACATCAGAGCCAAAAGGAAAAGAAAGATAAGAGAGATAAAAAGATAAGGTATGATAAAAATGATAAGACAAGGAGGATAAAAAAAATATAAAAATAAATAGGATAAAAGGAATAAGGTCATAAGAAAGGTAAGGAAGATAAAAAGATAAAAGACAAAAGGAGAGAAAAGAGATCAATCTTCATTTTGCTCTCTCCAACGTCATACTCTCATCCAACCCAAGAAAAAGGACATCACTCTTGATTCCTCTAATCCACGTCTGTTTGGGTATAAGAAGGGGGCTATGAATAGAATAAAATGCGCTTCAACGTGAAAGGAGAATATTACGAGACAGTGATAGGTCACCGATTCAAAGCTAAAATAGTAGTTGTTTTACAAATTACACTAAAAAGACAATGATTAATATACCCTTTCAATTTACCCTGTTGTACTCAATAAGGTATCGTATCTCATATTTTGAGGCTTTGAAAAACTATTTTGAAGCACAGATAAATGTAATTTAAAAAATCGCACATTAGTACATTAGCATGCCACACTTTTTATGCCCATGAACGAAAGCTTTCTTAATGTGTGAAACACCTACAACCATGGGCAGAGCTAGAGGGGGGCATCCTAGGCCCAGGGCCAACCCACATTTAAAAAATGCCTTATATATTAGTTTAAAATATTTTGTGTTAGAAAAAATTCAAAAAGAATCATTATACTGGCCCAACCCAATTTGGGCCCTGCCTACGCCACTGCCTACAAGTCTACAACCAACCATACTTTCACAATGTAGGGGTATATGGTTGACGCGTTCCTTAGCAATCGAATATGCCAAGTGTACCAGTGGGCGTAGCTCAACTGGTAGCGAGGGAGTGCCACAAGGGTTAGGTCCCGCGTTTGAATCCCGCCAACTGCGATGAGAGGTTATTATGCTAAAAATGCATAGGGCCTCTGCAAGTACCGGGGACAGAGCCCCACTCTCTATCTGTCAGATTGTGATTATAGTCCAATTTACATCCTCCCATCGTGCCGTCCGGTCGGTGTGGGGGGGGGGGGCTAAGGGATGGGGTGTCATCCTTTTTTTTCGAATATGCCAAGCGTGGAATAGTATTTCCCTCACGTTCCTAAAGCAAATGCATGAACATGTCACTCAATTAAGAAAAAATTAATAACATGGAACAATAAATAATTATATTAATATCATATGTAAAGGTTTATTTTAATATTTCATTGGAGGGTTTTTTTCATGGATATATCTTTGGATAGTATACAAAGATAAGTGGAGTTTTTTATCTATTCAGATAAATCCCCAACAATTTTAAACTCTGATCAACAAGGGCCAAAAATGTGGACATTCACGAACTTTATATTTTAATGAATGTTCTGAGTATCCTGAAAAAGGTCTTTCAACCACATTTCCAGGTTGGTACTGTCAATTTACTAATATATGCACATGTGCATATGGATATTCATATTTCACACATTTATATCAATAATAATGCATAAAGCCTTACCTTTTTCTTCCTGCGTTCTTTATCTCTAGATGTTGATACAGCATCACGAACCAACTTTATGTATGAAGGTAAAACTTCTTTAGGAACTGAGCTTATCACAGATGACAAAGCTTCCCATGCAGCCTATAGAAATGCAGGGTAAGACAAACATGCACACTGATGTAAAAGTCACTCATACAATCAATAAAATATATTACCGTCACAGTAGCTGAATCTGAATCACTTAGTAAAACAATTAGAGTGGATATCACATTTGGGGCTTCATCAACAAGATAAAGATCACTGGTTTTGAATAAAAACCCAATCAAGTATGCAGAACTTTTTCTGGTAGTTTCCTGGGGGGAAATGCAAAAAGAGTTAGCTAAAGAAATAAAAAAGAAAGCAGTATATTTATCATTAAATAAATCAATCACACATGCCTGATTATCCCCAACTCCTTTGAGAAGCTCTGACAGAACAGAATCAATACCTTCCTCATCAATTACTGAAACAACAGTTTCTGCTGCTTTCGTTGCCAAACTTTGAATCTCCTATAATTCCAAGGGGAAAGCATTGCAAGAGAGAGAAACAGGGAGGGAGAGAGAATGAGAGTGATGATTCAGATTCAAATTATGTAAAAGATGGAACCCCCAACCACAGGGTAAAAAACATTATGAAACAAAAGTATGTTCCTACCAAATCAGCATATCCCATTGCAGTGAGTAAAGCAGGAAGAATGGTACCAAGATGAGCATCAAGACCAGGTCCCGCAACTTCTGCTAGAGCTCCCAAAGCATGTGCATTGAAGGCACTAAATTTGAATCCATAGATTGAAATAAACAACAAAATAACAGAAATAGAAATATGCAGAAAGCACAATAAACAGACAGGATGCGTACGAGAGTGGAAGGTGTACAAGCTTGGGAAGAATGTGAGGCAGCACAGCACTGGTCCTGACACTAAAGGAAGCATCTAACGTATTTAATAAACCAGGCAAGAGACATAAAAAAGGCAATAAGCCAATAATACACATTTGAATATGGTAATAAACCTGAGTATTTGTTTTAAGCCATCAAGAGCAGTATTGGAGGTTTGATCATCCTCCAGAGCATGCAAAAGTGTGGGAACGATCTCGTCTATTGCTTGCAGTCCAGCACTCTAAACAAGCAGACATTGTCATCAAACATTAATCAAACAAAATAAAAGGAAGTTCACTCACTATAGGCGGGCATTATTACACCCACCCACCAATGACGTAGTGCCACCAATCCACCATAATCGCGATTAAGTAATTGTTTACACTAGTCATGATTGTAGTGATTTTATATTCCTGATGTCACCTTAATCGTGTTTAAGTGGTGTAATTTGGACCACATCATGTGGGTGAACGTTTTTTAACAAGAATGGTGACTAACAAAAGGTACCTTGTAAAGAGTGCTGAATGCCAACCCTGCTGATTCCCGAACCTCAGGCATGCTATTAGAATAAAAAAGAAGAAATGCGTCAAGCAGAGAAACTAAAACAGATGTGCTTCCTTCAAAAAGAAAAGAATATCAGACCTATCACAAAGTGCTGCACGAATTGTAGGGATAAGCTTGTCCATAAAATGCAGTAACTGGTTTTTCCCAGCACTTGCCATCACCTCACTTAAACCAATGCAAACACCCTGAAAAAATAGTTTAGTTTCATTAAAGGCGCCAGTGAGACCTAAAAACAAAATTATTCAACCAAATCTGAAAAAAAAAATCACTTTTGTGGACAATCAATTGGAGGACAACTGATTGGCCACAGATGTGATTTGCATACGTGTATATGATTTTCACCTTCATTCCAATACAATTTGACAAATTTTCATGAACATTTTAGCAGTCAGAAAGACATATATAATGTGTGCTCAGAGATAGAAATCATCACATTAAAATTTTAAAGTTCTTTTCCAAGTGTCTGTCATCACATTGCAGCCTCAGTTCAGCCATCAAAACCATATTGTCATTACCCAGCTTTACATGTCCAAGAATCAACGAAACTAGGGAGAATATGTTATTGATCCAACATATTCCAAATGAAACTAAAATAAGAGTGGTTTGCTATATATTGAGTTTAAGACATTTAAAGCAATTTAATGAGATGATGAATTTAGTGTTTCCTACTTGCTGTGGATATACTGAAATTTAAGTACCAATTATCAAACATTTGAGCATTTTCTTGATGATGTGCCATCTAGGATTTTTATCCATACGCACTACCGAGTTAAAATTTTGATTTTGTTCAAACAGTTCAACACATCAATAAATATACTTGCATCTTTAAGTAAACTTATTATAAGTGACTGTCATCCAAGGCCTTGTGGGCACTGACTAACCCTTGAATGACCTAGGTGCATGTCAGGGTCCAGGTAAACACAACTTGTAGGGCTATAGGGCATTATATATTTTAATGTATTATTCTTATTACTTTGACCATTCTTTACTAGTTGCCACCGTTTGACTTTTATACAATTCACATACGCTGCATCTGCTTGTGTGTGCATACATGCATAATAGAATCAAATGTTAATCTGTTTGTTCAAAACATTTTGCAACGATACAAAAATAACTCGTAATGAATACTAATTATAGGTTCAAAAATAAGCATTCAAAAAACTGTAAATAAGCTGAGCAAAACAATGACTAAAGAGTTCAAGACCAATGACAATAGCCTTAAGGTTAATAAACTCTCACTTGTCTTTTGCCAGGGTTAGAGTTATTTAGACCCTGTGACAATATTGGAATGATCAATGGAAGCACTCTTTCTCCGAGTTTCCTAACAAGCTCACCCAGAGCTCGTCCAGCAACCTTGCATGTAACAAAATTCACTTTAAAATTTTCTATACTTTTCCGACATGCTTATAAGACAACATCTGGAAACTCCTTTGGCAAAATATAAAAAACCTGTCGCCGCTCAGAGGATGAGGAAGCAAGCGAGCTAATTAAAGTGTTCATCAACACCGGTAGAATTTCCTTCAAAGTCTTCGGAGTATTTGCAACAATGGTTTTCCAGACATGTAATGCAGACTGAAGCAAAAGAGAGCAAATTTAGTTCATTATGTACTGCCAGCATATGATGCAAAGGTATAGTTAAATTGAAGCAAGCATAGCAAATGACTTCAGCAGTACCTGGCGTACAGTAAGGCTGACATCAGTCCGAACCATATACAGTGCAGCAAGAACTTCATTGCGCTTCTCCCTTCCAAGTACCTCAATGATTGCTCGACCATGAGCTTCAGTACTTGAACCTTCGTCATCACTGCCACCCTCAAGATGAGCTTTTCCAGACGTTCCAGCAACCTGTAAGGTAGTTGAACAATTGAGGTTGGAAGACACAAATTAGGAATATAAACTTCCCAAATTATAAGATCATACCTTAAACAAAAGATCACCCAACAACTCCACAGAGCTCTGCCTAATACGCCAATTGTCATTAAAAATACCTTCCTCCACAGCAGGAAGGAGCAGAGGCAAAGACCTACAAATTTTTTGGGGTGAGGAAAAACATAACTAATAACACATAAAAACAAAATAATAAAAAACACTGCCATGGTGAGATTTATCTGTGGTTCAGAAACCATAACGACAATCGACAAAAGCATCAAAGTCTTTATCCAAGTAGACCACATTAACATGTCATGAATTTAAAAAATACATTCACGGGAAGAAAAACAATGAAAAGAGCAATAAACCACAATAAGGGATTTTTAAAACGAACGTTGTTGCATAATGCTCCACTAAAACATGGCCAGCACCAAGTGCAGCATCACGTACAGATTCATTCTCATCGGCAAGTCCTGGAAAATCAGTAAGAGTTAATAAATAAGATTTTCCAGCTCAAGGTGCAGATGTTTTAGTTGTATGAGCATAAATAAATTATTCACAACATTCTCTCCCACTTTAGTGCGAGATAGATATAGAGAGAGATGAGGGTTACCATCTATAATTGCAGGAAGAACCGGCTGCAAATAGTTCTGGAATTGGATACCTAAAGATCTAGGAAGATACTAAAAAAAGAAAGGGCATTAAATTAGAAGTAATCGATATTGATTTATAGAAAAATAAAACCACCACAAGAGAGAACAAGTTAAATAATCAGCTCCTACCTTAAAGAGTGACAAATAGCCATCACGGACCGATGCTTTTTGATGAGAACAGTTTCGTATGATATCCGGAAGTATGGTTTCAAAGTACTCCAAACCCAATGCAGACAATACCTGTAAAAGGAAACAAAGTGGGTAGCACAGTTATTTGTAAAGATTATGGTTTGCTTTGAATCCCCGGTGATACTAGATGATACACAAAATCAAAGCGCTAGAGTTTGTGGGGAAAGTTCAGCCTTTCCTGCTTTGTGAAGTTTAAAAAAAGCCACTTAGCCATAAAGGAAGGGCCACAACAGAGTTGCAGTAAGTTCATAACTTCACAGTAAAGTGGTTTAAAAGCAGAACTAAATCAAACTACAGCAAAGATAAATGTTAAACCCGTACCCCAAAAACACAAATCTATATGAAGCACTAAACAATAGCTGATAATGCACTACACCGGTAGACCCAGATATGAAATAAATTTGAAACCCAGAATTTCATGCAGTTCTTAGTAACGAGATTAAACACTCAAAAAAAGTTGGGACATGTGGCTAAATATAGTCAATAAGTTAAACCTCTAATTTATTTTGAATACTAAGAAATACTATTTGTTTCTTTCAACTTTCTATACATCGAAACAAAATATATATGCACATATCTACTTCCAAGATGGAGCATAATTGATGATACTATTTCAGTTTATGTGAACAGAAGTAACATGACAGGATTGCACCCTTGCCAGACCCTACAAGGTTTATTGGGTTTGGTTTAGCATTGCAAATGTCCTTTCTGTTACAGATGCACAACAACATTCAAAAAGACAAGTCTCCAAAGTGGTATATACATACATGCATACACAAGGATGCATTCAGCATGCATGCATGCATCCAGTGTGTGTATATATGTATGTATGCATGCATATAATTACCTATGCTCTCTAGTTGAAAAATACTAACAACAAGAAGATAAACTCACATTGAAATGCTGAATCATGTAAACTATTGGCATTGATGGAAATTAATTGAAAATATTTACTCATGTGACACCTCTACTGATGAAAACCACATTCTTCAAAGCATTCTAAAGTTTGAAGTATATTATATATATGAGCAACTTCAAGAAGTAAAGAAAGTAAACAGGCCTTTATACCAGTGACTTACAAAACTTAAGTGATGGAATGTTATGAAACAGAACCATAACAGATAACATTCCTAAAACGGAGTATAGTTAAGGGAGTGTTTGTGATTGCTTCTGCTTTAAAAAAGTGACTTTTTAAAGTGATTTTGGAGCAAGTGCTTAATTAATAGTAAACGTTGGTAGTGTTTGAGAAAAAATTGATCTTGAAAAAGTAAAAGTTGGTAGTATTTGGTAAAATATGTGCTTTTTGTGTAATAGAAAAAGTAAAAAGCAATTTGCAGCTTTTAGCTTTGAAGTGTTTAATTTAAGAAAAAATTGTCACTTGAAAGCACTCATTTCAAATTTTTTAAGCCAAAAGCTGAAAATCACTTTTTTTAATTGTTTGCAAACATACTCTAAAAAGCAGAAAAGAAATAGTAATAAGTTTGAATTATCTTTAACCTCGCTCAGGCCCTGTGCAGCTCCAGAGCGCTCAACATTGCTGCCATCAGATTTCAGAGTATCCAACAGCCAAGGCACCAAGTCTGGGAAGTTTTCTTCTCCCATTCCCCTTATAAGAGAGCCAATAGCTCTTGCAGCAACAGATCGAACTTCAGGGATAGGATCCTGCAGAACCTATTTAAAACAGGGGTGTTTATAAATCCATTTATTCATTCCAGGATCTATTCCTTTAAACAAACTAACAATTACCTTTTTAACTTCAGGAAGAAGCAAGCCTATGTAAGGGATCATGTCCTTTGGCTCTGTAACCAAAGAACACATATTCCCAACAATTTGGGCAGCCTTCTTCTTAGTTTCAGCACCTCTTTCTCTAAGGCCTCGATAGACAATTGGTACCAATAATGCAAGAGATGGAGCATCAACTGTGTTGACAAAGGTTGTCTGCAACAGAATAATAGCCATAAGCCTTTTCAAAATTGCAAGTACGTGAAAAAAATAAGGCTGAAGGATATAAACCTGAAGGAGTATGTCAAGGGAGTATTTTGTGTATTCATTGGGTTCCATAAGACTTGTTAAAAGAGTAGGCACAAGAGCAGATATCTCTGGATTCTTTATAACACTCCCTACCTATAAGCAATGAAAATGTTAAAACTTGATAGATAAAGAGTTATTAAAAATAAAAATGGTGGCTTGAATATGATAAGCTTCTTCACTTGTTGAAGTGCAGTCTGTCCAGCTGATTGAACTTTAGGATGAGTGTCAGTCAAGACCTGTAAGACAGCCAATGCAGCTTGAAATGTGTTCTTACGTTTTACAAGTAGCTAAAATAATGGGCCTCGTCTAAAGAAAACACGTATGACAGAAATTCAACCTCTGTTAATTTTGGCACTACTTTGGGGAGGCACTGGGACAACTGCTGTGGCGCACAGTAAGCCATAGCACCGAGAAGTTGCACACTACTTTGCTTTGTCCTCCAAGCTTTATCTTCAAGGCCCTGATATAGCATGAACATTTAAAATATGGTGATACAGGGCCTTACGCAGAATAGTAAATCTGGTGGCAACTACATTTTTACCCAGCTAGAAATCATAACATTGCAGGAAGAGAAACAAATAGGCATTCATGCTGGTCTACTACGTACAATTATAACTTGCAAGATGAACCTAAAAGAATGTAAAAAGAACCTTCAGAAGTGATGGAAGGATTAGTTTCACTCCTTGAGCAGTCAATTGAGACATCATTGCCCGAGCAGCACATTCTGCAGCTTCTCTGACTGCAATCACTTGGTCAGAGAATGCAACCAGAAGTAGTGGAAGCATTTGAATTACATAGCTGAAAGAAATTGAAAGAAGCTGTTACTAGTAAAATAATGACAGCTAGCATTCAATTATTCACTAGTGCATGACTTCTCCTGCCATCATCATACGCAACAGGATACTAAGTAGAACGAAACAGGAATATAATTCATGTTGAAGTTAGAGCAGACATACGGCTCAAAAAGTTTTCCTAATGTCTCACAGAGACATTCAAATGCAAGCAATGCTCCTTCACGGCTTTTAGCAGAATTCCTGCAAAAATAAATCAATAATCAGCTACATAAAGATGTTTCGAATTACAAATCATGGTCATTAAGATGCAAATTCATCATCCCAGTGGCCAGACACATAGTAGTCGATGGCGCAAATGGCAATCACCATTTCTCGCCATTGGCGTTTCAGGGTGTCATCGCCACAATTCCTGGCTATGGCATCGAGGAGACCAATTGTATTGCCACATGTGCGCCATCACCACGCCTGCGCTATTTTGCGCCACTTTATTGCGTTAATTTTAAATTTTTTAGGCCTAGATTAATAACAACCTTCGTGAGTGGGTTGACTATTAAATCCTACATGAGTACACTAACATTTGACTCTAAATATAAAAACAAAGAACGGCTAATAATACCAAAGAACTGACTCTGTATGTGACTATGTGTGTAAGAGGAGTTTAATGCACCAAATCCCCCCCTGTTATATAGAAATTCGGCGCATTAGCCCCCTGTGATTTGAAAAAAGCGTCAAACTCCCTTGTGTTTTAATTAATTATGCGCCAAATCCCTTCTGTGAACAAATTCAATTGTCAAATAAAAGAAAAATGATTGACATTTTTGTATGATTCAGAGATTTTGACATATTTACTTGCATATTCAATCAAAATATTAGGAAAAGTGATTTCCAAATCGTTAGATTTGTTCATAAAAGGGGTTTTGTGCATGATTAATGCGCTGGTTTTCTATATCACGAGGGAGTTTGGTGCATTAAACCCGTGTAAGAGAGGTGTGTGAACAGCGTTCACCCAACGACCAGATAGCAGCGACCATCCAGCGACTATCCAACGAGCACCCAACTATCAGCGACCACCCAGCTGTGCTTTGGCAGATATAAAAAACTGGCAATTCCTCCCCAGATATTTTCGTGTTTGAGCGTATAACTCCGTATAAATATGTGTCATTACTAATTTACTATATTATGTACTGCGTATTATGTATATCAGTATACTGTATGTTATGTACTTATATTATTTGTATCATGTATGTTATGCATATGTAATTATGTATACTGTGTGATATTATTATGTGATGTATGTTATATTGTTATGGATATTAAGTTAGTTTGATTTTGATTAGTTTTGGTACTATTTTGCTTATACTTGTTAGATTCAGTGTTTCTTGTCGTGCACCACTTTTGTGTCATCGCCACATGAAACTAAACCCCCGGCATGATGGTCGCCGTGCCCAGGCAAAGTATAAACTTGATCTAGCAACTACACCAGGTTGGTAGGAAGGGAGTGACACAAGGGGTACGTCCCCGGTTCGATCCTGGCAAAGACCTGGGCAAGAACCTTACTCTATCAGTTTGTGATTAAAGTCCAATTTACCTCCTCCCAGATAACTGACCCGGTCCTAGGGGGCCCTAGGGGATGTGGAATAATTCTTTTTTTATGTGACAACTATAAATTGATAAAGCTTCAATAAAAAATGGTTTTCCCATTTATATTTTTTTTTTGTTTCCAGATATTTTTTGAGAAACTAGAATACAGGACATTTGAGTTTAGGGTTTTGATATTTTCCCTTGGGAATAAGGCTTGGATGTTGTTTTTGTATATTTTTTGAGAAACTAGAATACAGAACATTTTAGTTTCTATACCTGGTGAAGACGAAAGCATGAAATGTAATTTTGAACTAGTCAGACTTAGTTCATCACCAACAGTGACGATGCAGAATCTCAAATGAGAGAGAAAATGGGCTCACATTGTACATTTTATTTTTGGTGTAGTTAACATAAATGAGTGTGCCATCATTATACATATATAGAAGAAAAGACTCGTACTTATATTTTATACAAGCTAGATTTATACAAACCGACCTGTCAAGAAATCCTTCATTCAAGGCTTTTACAATACCATATTTCTTTAGGCAGGAAATTTTGAATCCTTTAACAACCCCAGCAAGTCCAAATGCTGCTCCTCGGCGCTCCCCATACTTGTCACTCTTCATTAGTTTATCTAGAAGCCTCGAAATAAGAACAGGCCCATCCTCCTGAGTAGTTTGAAAAAATAAACAACAGAAAGAGACAGGGTCAAATTAGAACACACTTTGCTTTCAAATGGTGCTTCAATGCTATGAAGAAAATGGGGGAGGAATACAGGGAAAAAGTGCTTCAAGGCTATGAAGAGAGTGGGGAAGAATACAGGTCAGTTTTTAACTTTTTATTATTGTGAGCTTGGAATTTTGTTGGAATAGCCTTGCATGAAGGATTCCTCATCAGGTCAATAAGCAATGAAAAATAAAGATTAAGAACATTTGGATGACTGGAAGTATAAAAGTTGATTAAAAAAATATCACAAGAAATTAGCCAATGAAGTGGATAAGCAAAAAAATCCCCAATATCAAGCCGTTCCATTCCAATGACCATGAGTGAGTTGAGTTTGTGATAACACATTCTATATGCAACAACTGACCACGCCTAGTATTAGTATGGTAGGATCAGCTATATCTTCAAAGTTTATTAAACCCCAATTGACTATATGCAACAACTGACCAAGCCTAGTATTAAGTATGGAAGTCTTTTTAAAGTAGCTATTCATCAATTTGGGTTTAGCATAATAGTAAGGTAGATCTATTTTCAAATTATAGTATTGGTCATGTAAGAATCCACCAACTCCATAGGGCATCAAAGAAAGATTCTACCTACATAACATTAGGTGGATGTCATGAACAGTTATGTGCAGTATTTGAAATTCACCCTAGTGGGCCTAGTATAATATGTGTGTGTGTATAACAAGCTTAAGATTGATTAAGTTTATTTGCCAAAATTGGGATAGAAACATTAAAACAAATACATATATCAAAGTTTTTTTTGGCAATCAGTAATCAACAGTTTTCTTGAGAACCTGTTTTGATTGCATCAGCGGAGAAAGACAGGCGGAAACTGCTCGTTGAACAGCTTCAGAAGGAGTGTTCAGTACATCCAGCAACTTTTCAACAACAGCAAGAACCTTTGGATCATCCTATTATAAAACATGCATGACAATAGGATGCTGCAATGTTAGCCCACCACCCTCTCTTTAGAGTTTAGATAGTAAACATGATATACACTAATTTCGCACCTTCGCCAAATGTTTTGCCAAGGCACCAGTGAATATCACAACGCCTTCACGCACCAGATCATATCTCTCTTCATCTGATGCCTGAACATAATGAAACGAGCACGTAATTAATCGTGATCAGGTATGCTTCCATTTCCTTCTGGTTAAAACCACTATATTTTGACTTTGTGTAATATAATTTATAAGTAATACAAAAACGTAAAGATATATTAGAGAAGCATAGCTGCCCAGACAAGAGTAGGATGGTGAAAGAGAAAAAGATCCATAAACAGTACCTTTTTGTTCAAATAATTTTCAAAAATTGGGAATAGCAGGGACACATTTTCATTTCCATGCTTGTCAATAATCAGTATACCAGCATTAATCATTCTTCCCCTAACATCCACATTAGGATCAGCCTGCAACTCAGTAGCGCCCATATACTTCAATGTTTAGAGCCATTACAAACCAATAAATTCTAGTATGAGAAAATATTTTTTGACCAATTCAATTTAACTATATTAATTAAGTGTGAGCAACAAGTTATGAGAACTGAGAATTTTTCTAATAAGTATGACTAAAGGAAACAGATAGAAATTAATAAGATTTTTGTCTGACCAACAAAATGCCGCCAAATTAATGTTGAATTCATACAGCATAAATTGCAAATTATAATAAAGTTGCAGCTCCCAATGACCCAATTTCAAATATCATAATAGCTCTTTCTGTTCAAGATAACCGATTCTAATATGCAATGCTAAAATAGAAGATCGAGATGAAAAACGGACATAACATGACTATTTTAGAATGCTTTAAATTGCACCTCAAATGTACCAGCTAAAATCAATCAACCAGTTTTCTGAATATGACTGAACTGCTAGATTAGTTGTCATATAGATCATTAATCCATTAACTGAACCACATACTTAACCCAGTTAAGATTCCTCAAAATGAAAGATTAAGGATACTAATAGTCATCCAGTAGGGCAAACTTAACCTCTAACTGAGCCATAATTTAATAGTCAAACAGATTTCTCAAAAATTGAACTAACACATTAAGTGTCATCCAGGCTTTGATGTGCCAATGTAAAAAACAATCACACTTAGGTATAAGATTCAGTTGCACAAATTAAATATTTAAATGAGCCATAATTTTAATAATGTCAACCATATTTTTCAAAGATTGAACTAGCACATTACGAGTCATCCAGCAGAACAATTTGAATCTTTAACTGGACTATAAATTTTATCAGGTCAACCAAATTCAATGAATGTACCACTTAAAAATAATACTCCCTATATCCCTTTGTAACCTTCATTCTCTCCTTTTGAGTCTATCCCTAGATTATCTCCACTATCTTTATCAGTAAAGGATTCTGTTGTTCATATTGTTGAACTCTCTTCAAACAAAACTCAAAAAGAGTTTTCAGTTTTTCACCCTTCTCAAAACTGTGCAAAGTCAAATAGGGGATAAAAGAGGGATGGAGGGAGCAATGCACATGCATAACGAATAAAATTTAAAGTATTTGATGATGATATATAGCATTTTACTCGGGTATACATGCATCACAAAGTACAATGTGAATCAACCTTGTGTGTAGCAACAAAGTAAATGGTTACCAGCGCTCTTGATATTAGGAATGTCATTACAACAGGAAGATCTTTGGTTCTAAGCACATCGGAAACAGAGTGTAAAGCCAATGCAATCCCTTGTCTGCCTATCCAGCCAGCATCAATAATGTCCTCATCAAGTCCAGCATCACGAATATACAATGAGAATAATGTTGATAGCGACTCCTATATTAATAAACCAAATTGTTGCATAAAACCACATATTTAGGTTGAAAATAAGAGCAGTTTTCACAATGCAATTAAGTTATTATTATTATTATACATCACCTGAATTGTATCAGGATTATCATCTAAAGCTGCAGCTAATGCTTCGGCAGCAGCAACTCTAACATTAAAATTGAAGTTCGAAAGGGCTTTGAAGATTCCTGAATAATCAGTCCCTAATTCATAACCATAGTGATCCCATATGTCTTCTGCAGCTTCAGCAACTGTCTGTGAAAACCTCAAGATTTTATAATAGGTAGATAAACTATACTCGCCTAAGTTTCGTCTCTTTTAAAAAAAATGGCAATTTTTAGAAAAAGGATAGCAAATATTGGAAAAATATAGAACGAAAACAAGAAATAGTGTAGCATCCAGAGAACAAACAGAAGGTGGATATCAAGGTAGTCAAAACCATGATCCTACTTGTAGGATCGGATGACTTTACCCATCAGCTCACTGATCCTGATCCAGTTCCTTAGAAGAATCATGATATTGATAGAATCGGTAGGATTGTCAGTCACAATCGTAGAATCATGATCTACTTCGAAAGAACAGCGAAAAAATAATTTGCCGAAGTCGGAAAAGTGGGAAATTTTAACCGGCACTATAATATAACTAATATTGATTTTCGGCTTCAAATTCAATGAAGACCATGCAATCAAAAACAGTATTCCTCAAGCCTTCATCATCCTTAAAAACAAAGCCTCTGCCCTCTGGTTCTGAACTTCTGAACGTCTCCCTAGTCCAGACTCTCCACACTCCCATATGCTATTCTTTTGATCTGCGCCTGAAACTCGAATTCATATGCTTCTAGCTTATATGTCTTCAACTCCCACCTCAGCTGTTATGGGGTGTTATGTTATAAACATTGTACTTGAGATCACCTTATGTTTTATGAATAATATTGCACATATGACTAAAATATTATATATATATATATATATATATATATATATATATATATGAGGAATGATCCTGTCCAGCAGCCCCCGGTTCCGAACAGTGTCCGAACATGGCCATTTGGGGCACTTCCCGGTGGAATTTTTTGATGAAACTTTTTGAGCATGTTCTTCATCAAGTCTAGTTTGTTCATACCAAATTTCAGCTCAAAATTCGTTCGGGAAGGCATTCAAATCATTTTTTGAAGTTGACTGCGTTTTTATATGTATATTTTGATGCAGTCAACTTCAAAAAATGATTTGAATGCCTTCCCGAACGAAT